CCCCTGCCTCTCCCCTCAGCCCCCCTGGGACCCTCGTGCCTTCTGTTTCACCTCATCTCTGAGGTTCATGCCGAGGTCAGCCGCAGGCCCGTGCATCCCGTGCACACGGCGCGTAACTGGAAGACATGGATAGGGCATCGATCTGATGCAGATTTCTTGCACTGTTTATATACTGTATATGCAGGCATCTTCATGTTTGTTTGGCTTATTGCTTAATATTGAATTTTTAAAAATTGATCAATATTGTGTGTGTATGCTAATATAACATATAACATGCTAATAACTTAACTCTTAAATACTGTCAAAATTAATATCCATTTTCATACTGTACATTGTTTTAATGACAAAATTCAGTTGAAGCATTAAAAATGATTAAACATTTTTAGTGTGTTTAAAATTTATTTAGACAAATTAGTATACAATTTTAAAATCAGCCAGTTGACGGATATCAGCCATAACGTGAAAATAATTATAAGCTTATCTGTATTGAGAATTCAGTTTATCCCTATTTGTAAAATGTAAAATTATAACAGAATGCTTCAGTATACAAATGTGATCACATGATCGGTTAGTAATTTTTCATGGACTCATTTAGCCAATAGTGTAAATATGTTAGTGGTCTTGACTTTTGTGAATCTACAGTAAATCATTGCATTGCATTGCATTGCATCCTCATCCTCATCCTCTTAAACAGATATACAGAGAAGAGAGAGACTTGCAAAATAACTTGCAAAAACACTATATTTAATGGAACCTTTTTGGTTATCTGACATTTGTCATTTAAAAAAATTAAAGAAAACAAACTTAAATGTATAAAAAAAATACGTTTTGCCTCATTTATGTCATTGATGGGCCTTTGCATCTGTCACTGCTGACTGTTCCCTGTCACTGACTCATAGCCACTCAACTGTGATGCTATTTAATGGTGTTTTACATTAACTTCCCCGGATCATTACAGCATCAATCCGATTTTTATAGCTGGATCAACTGCTGTGCTCATAACATCACCTATGAGCGCAGTATTATGCATGTTGGTGAGGATATTAAATGCGCACAGAGCCCAGCTTTATTATCCGATATGAATACCTGATATGAGCTTATGATGAACAGTAATTAATTAAATAGTATATGAGGTTGTTTGTTCTCCACTCATTTGAGACTTGCAGCTCTCGGTGTCAAATTTTTCGATGTCATTGTTACAAAAGGGTTCTCTGCAGAACGAGTCCGGAGGAGTAAACGCAGCAGCCCATTGGTGGTGGCAGGCAGTGTGCTGCAGAGTGATAGGAGTAGTGTGACCTGGAGCTGTGCCTACCTCCATGTTGCAGAAGGAGGGGGAGGGAGGCTGGGCCCGCCATGTCTTGGTTCTCCTGTATCCCGCCAAGCTCCACTCGTGGCATCAGTCCCCGCTTTCCTGCTGCTGTGGCACTGATGAACGTCACTCTGCATGGCACGCTCAATGCCTCACTCCACCAATCTCGTCCTGCCACATCGCAGAGGCCGTGCCATGCATCACCACAAAGCATCTAGCAGCCGCGGAGAGCGCCTGGAGGAAAGTCATTAGCCTTGTGTCGCTCCCTTTCTCCTCTCCCCACATCTCCTCGTTTTTGTGTGCCTCTTGTCATGAGTTACTGACAAAATCAAGCTTGGAATTGGATGTCTGCTTAGCGAAAACTAAATATATAAGTACTCTGATGTATGCTTTTCTTTTTGATACATTTTGATGCTCCATTTTTTTTCCTTTGAATACTTCATAATAATTGATGTCGGTAACGAACAACATGAGAAAACAAAATAAATGAAATTGGAAAAGGCCTAACAGCACAAAGCCTCTGAGAATGATGGTGATGTAACACTCTGAAATATTCATAAACATCCGCAGCACGTTTAAAAGGAAATGATTGGCTTTATGCTAATTAAGGAGGGAGAATGCAAGGAGTGAGAATTAAGAAACCTCACTGCTCTGAATAATTAAAAATGCAATTTATAGGCGAAATGAAAATTCTCAAGACCGGTGCTATACATGCATTTTTTATGTCACTTTAATAATTATCAGAGGTAAATGATTTTGTTTATGATGGTTTCAAATGTGCATATTTTTAAAAACATGTAGAATCTACACTGCAAAAAAAAAATCTGTGACATTTACGGTAAAATACCGGCAGCTGTGTTTGCCAGAACTTCACCGTAAAAAATATGGTAGCAACATTTTAGGTTTTACAGACTTAACTTAAATTCACAATAAAATACCGTATTTAATTAACTGATGTAATGTTAATAAACTAATATCGGTTTTGAACCATTGTAATGCACTAATAACCACCAAAAACTGGTGGTGATGAGAAAGTCACATGATGAACCAAAGCTCATCACAAACAGCTTTTCTACGAGCTGAGGAAAATACTTATATATAGAAGGTGCACAGTGTCATTCACACAAACACTAAACCCCATCGGGTGACACACATGATACTGAAATAATGCAATAAACATTAATTTAACAACATTAAGATTAAACCCTAATGTACACAACTGATAAGAAAAAAACTAACAAGAAACATGTTATTTCAACAAAAAAAAACTTCAAAAATGAAGTGTCATGCAGGGAATTCTGGGAGTGTCAATTTACGGTTTGTCACTGTAAATTATACAATGACTTTTTCACTTCCAAAAACTGTATTTTTAAACAGTATTTTACTGTAAAATTGCATTAAATGTAATTACATTTATTCACCAAATATAGTATGGAAACTTACTGTTAATCAGTTAACAGGTTTTTACTGTAGCATTTTTACAGTCTTTTACTGTTAAAATCACAATAATTTTTTACAGTGTAAGAGAACTGACAATGTAAGAAACAGGCAGAAATATAATATAATTCGGGCTCTTTTTTGGCAGCTTTTTGTCCTCTGTGGCTTTAAATATATCAAGCTCTGATTGGTTTCAAGGAAATGGCTGAAGTTAAATGTTGCGTCTGTTCGGCCAATCAGAATCTTGGGTTTCCTTGGAGACAGTTCAGAATAGAAAAACATGCCATTTTTTCTGTAGGTGAAATGTTTGGTTACACTGCTACCCTGTGGAAGAATCACGAATATAGTGACTGGCCAGAAACGCCCACTGTTTGGTTTCCTCAGAAAGGCAGGTCGTAGGTTGTGAAGAATGACTGAACACAAATTCACCATTCATTTTGCCATTGCTTAAGTCTCTGACCGCACCATGGGGTCAGACAGCAAGGCCTGAGGAAGAAGGCTGTCAGTAGGTGTGTGAAGATTAGAGAGACGGTTAATTGTACGCCATTCTCACATTTCTTCTGTTTATTCTGTTTCTTCTGAACTATTACTGGGGCTTGACCTTTTAGATAAATGAACAGAGGGGGATGTGGATGGATGAGGGGAGTAAAAGGTGTCGGGATGAAAGCGCACAAAGAGAAAAATGAACAGAGAAGTGACTGGACCGAGGCCTCCGTTTTTTTCGATGATACATCAACTTACCCTTGACAAACAGTGTGTAGTTCAGTTGTATTTATGACGACGTAGATGTGACCGTGGGTACGGAAAAGGCTCATGTGTGTTCGTGAATGTAAGTGAGGGTCAAAGGGCTCCTCTGCGAGATGGTCATCTGTCTGATAAACTAGACGCATAACATGGCAGGCTACAGAGCTTGTTGGTGATGTCACGCAGACTGGGTATGTTTGATGAGCTGAGTCTTATTTATAGAGGTATTAGACTCTCCAAGCTGTTATATCCACCGCTCACATCACAGTTGCATTTATCGTTGTTCTTTTGACATTTTTTTCCAATGACAAGTTCAAGACAGCCCTCTTAAGACGACTGCACAGTTGACTGCATAACACTGTCTGTTTTATGCATCGAATTGCAGCCTTAGCTCAAAGAGAAGAGATACCACAGAGATCAACATCAGCGTGCAGGGAAGGAAGCATCTGCTCGTGTCTAAATGAGTTTTAAATAAGTCTGGTAGCGTGCCCAGAGGCCCACCTGTCGCCTACGCTCTCTTTTAGCTCTTGAGGTTTGAAGTTGATGAAAGCTGGAACGCGAGGGTGAGGATTTGTGTCTCGCTTCCCTGTTTGCAGCAAATTGTTCGCCTGCGCTGCCACTCTCATATGCCCTAGAAAACATGCTAAAAATAGGCGCGTGGGTGCAGATTAAAATGCAGCAAGCCCTGCACCATATTTTGATATATTCTTATTACAGTTGTCATCATATTAGCAGTGCCATCAGGGGCCTGGGACAATTTTTTATGGGTGGGCCCCCTCTTCCCTAAACCTAGAGGTTATACCACCTTACATTGACAGGTAAAAATGGTAATTTTAGGGGTGCAAAAGCTCAAGGGTACATTTTTGTACATAATCTACACCTAAATAAATATATAAATATCTCTGTGTGTGTGTGTGACTGCCATTCAAAATTTTGGGGTCAGTCAGATTTTATTTTTAAAGAAATTAATTCTCTAATTCAGCAAGGATACATTAAATTCACCAGACGTGACAGTAAATACTTAAATTGTTTAAAAAAATCTATTTCTAATAAATGCAGTTCTTTTAAACTTTCTAAAGCACCAAATCTGCATATTAGAATTATTTCTGAAGGATCATGTGACTGAAGACTGCAGTAACGGCCACTGAAAATTCAGCTTTACCATCACAGGAATAAATTACATTCTCAAATATATTAAAATAGAAAACAGTTATTTATAACTGTAACAATATTTCACAAAAGTACTGTTTGTACTATATTTTTCAAATAAATTCAGCCTTGGTGAGCATAAGTCCAAATAAGTCTGTCGAAAGTAGAAACACTCTTACTGAACACAAAATTTTGAACGGTAGTGTGTTTTTATTTATAAATTATTATTTTAATTGTATAAACAATAAGCATAAGTGTTCTATTCCATGTTAGAGTAAATGTGTTACTCATTTTATATTTATTATGTGTCACATTACCACATTATTTCACAACATTATTTCCCTTGATTTCTGATTAACAGTTTTTGAAGAGATCCCTCTGGTGGCTGCACAGGACCTGAGTAACATTCTAAAGCAAGGCTACCTGGAGAAGAAAAGACGTGGTAGGAATCTTTGAAATCAGCATCAAAAGCCACATAAAATCCACAAGCATTTCTAATCTTTTTCTTTTTTCAGATCACAGTTTCTTCAGCATGGAATGGCAAAAGCGATGGTGTGTTCTGAACAACACCATATTTTATTACTTCGGGAGTGAGAAAGGTGTGTCATGCCCCATTTAAGGAGGTATACAAGTCTTTTCATGAATTTCAAAGACAGAGATATTGAGAAACTTGGATTTTGTCTTTTTAGACAAGCAGCAGAAGGGCTCATTTTATATCAATGGCTACAGTGCAGAGCTGGTGCCCAGCTTACGCAAGGACTCCAAGAAGAATTCATGCTTTGAGATGAGTGCTCCTGGAAGACGTTCTTACCAGGTTCAACACACACAAACACATTCACATTGCTCATTCCTGTAGCTGTGTTCAGTCATCTTGCTGTCATTACAATGAAGAATGAGAATAGCCTCCAAATCAACGATGATAGTTTCTCTTTGCAGTTCACTGCCAGCAGTCCCCGTGAGGCCAGGGAATGGGTGGACCAGATCAATTTTGTTCTGAAGGGTATGTGAGATATGAAATACATTTTTATTAGAATACATAACATATATTATGCTGAATGCATCTGACTTGATCCAAGCCCCATGGTGATCATCTTGAGGTGAAAAGGGCAGTTTTATAAAAAAACTAAACAAAGGCATACCAATAACTTTCTTTCTGGCTCAGCCAATAAGATAGGCTCTAGACCTCCTCATGGAGCACGTCACTGAGCTTCTGAGTCCAACGTGCTTCAGGCTGCCTCCTCTTCCCCGTAGCATAGCGCTCTTTACAGGAAATTGATTGGGATTTGCCCGGTCATCCTTTAGGGGCATCGATCTGGTCCTGCTTGGCATTGAGGCAGTGAGGATACGATAGCCTGTGTTACAGAGCTCAGTCACCTGCAATCAGGCCCTCACTTCATCTGAGACAGATCTGAGGCACCCTCGCCACTCTAAAATGGGCTCAATGCGGCCCTCTGATTTGCGGGAAGTAATGGACACTCCTGAGATAGTTTTCTCCCTCCCCACCCCCCTTCGCACATGTACATACAGCCAAATGGCACAAGCGTCATTTAGTATTAGCGCTGTAATAAATGTCAAATTTAACACTTTTTTTTTTTTTCTCCAGATTTCTGCACAGTTACATTTCTGATATTATTATTATTTTTTTTAATATAAATTCTTCAAAGCTACACTGAGGACCCAAAATGTTGGAACACACTGAAACAAACAATATTTTAATGATTTGGGATTTAAAAAAATGTTTAATTATTTAAATATTTGATTTTCTTAACTCTTTATGTACCACTTATTGACAAAGCAAATTTGTGACATTGAGTATTCTCAAATCGTGCTGGATCACATGCTCATCAGTGCAAATGTGTAGAGTTAATGCAGCTGGATTCTTGCTGTCATTAAAGCAAAATTGTGACAAACCAGGAAGAAAAGGCTATGAAAATCATGTTATTAATTCAGCTTTTCACTCAAATTATATTATGCTGGTAATGTCATTTGTAATAAAGAGCATTAAATTAGAAAATTGCAAAAAGTCACTAGTGGTCTCAGACTTTTGGGAACCCACCAAGTGTAGATCGGTTATTTGTCTGCTGTCGTTTTTATTATTTAGGTGTTAATGTTTGCTTTTATGGCTTCTCTCCAATATCTGGAGAGTGACATGTGACACTAGAGGAAAATTCAGCTTTGCCATCATAGGAATAAATTACATTTAAAAATATATTAAATTGAAAACAGTTATTTTAACTTGTAATACTATTTCACAAAATTACTGTTTTTACTGAATTTTTGATTACAATAGAAGTAATACAATAGAATTTTCACTAGTGGTCTCAGACTTTTGGGACATCACAACATGTAGATTGGTTAACATAATCAGATTGAGATTTACTGCCAAGTATGTTTGCATGCACAAGGAATGTATATAATTTGTGTGCTGTCATTTTCTTTATTTAGTTGTTAATGTTTGTTTTATGGCTTCTCTCCAAGATCTGAGCTCTAACTTCATCCCCTATGACGATGATGAAGAGGAGGTGGAAGAAGAGGAAGAGACATATGATGACATTGAACGAGCTACCACACCACCACCACCACGTCCTGGGCCAGCATCTGCTCCAGTTACAACCCCGAGTCTGGGACAAACCCCCCAAAGCAGCCGCAAGGAATGGAAGGACCAAGCAGAGACTCAGGAAGATGAAGAAGAGGATGAAGAGGACATTTATGAAGTGCTTCCAGGTACAGAAAAAAAGCAATGTATCTCATTCTATGGCCCTTTTAACAAAACAGAGTTAAATATTGGATTATCCTGATAGCTAAACTTACATAACTGTGAATTTGTTTACCCTGATCACTATCTTAAAACACTGACATCAGTTTTTGATGGGATTTTGGAGCAAAGTAACTGAGGCTGTAGCCATCAACTCTACAGTGTTGAACACCATCAATAAGAGCAAATATATCAAGCTCTGGTCACCCAAAGTGATAGCAAGACCCTTGGAGGACCTAATGAGATCTCTGAGGAGAAATACATCACTCTGGAGTGCTGTCATTTTCACCTTACTTTGCCATGTGTGCTGGGCAGCTGAGCTGGCCACATATGGCGGATCGAGTGACCACCTCTCTCACTTTTCCGCCCTTCATTCATCTCTCTCTCATTTTCTTATGCCTCTCAGATTTTCAGTTTGGAAAAGTGCTGAGCAGGTCTTTTATGACATTGTCTAAAAAGTGCTGAATGTGGTGTGCTCATATATTAACTAATCTATTAAAAAAATAATGTATATGTAATTGTGTATGCAACCGTTCATACGTTTGTGGTCAGTAAGATTAACAGAAAAATATTAATACTTGTATTCACCAAGGATGCATTAAAATATTTGAAAATGACTGTAAAGACATTTATATGGTCATAAAAAAAATTCCATTTTAAATAAATGCTGTGCTTTTAAACTTTATTTTCTTTAAAGAATCCTGAAAAAATATATCATGGTTTCCACAAAAATATTAACGTTAATAATAATAAGAAATATTTCCTGACCATCAAATCAGCATATTAGAATGATTTCTGAAGGATCATGTGACACTAAAGACTAAAGTAATGGCTGCTGAAAATTTAGCTTTGCCATCACAGGAATGAATTATATTTTATAATATTTAAAAAAAGAAAACAGTTATTATAAATTGTAATAATATTTCACAATACTACAGTTTTACTGTATTTTTGATCAAATGAATGCAGCCTTGGTGAGCATAAGAGACTTCCTTCAAAAACATTTTGACCACAAACTTTTGAATGGTAGTGTATATATCTGTATTCCTCATTAATGCTTCAGAACTATCCCGGAAATTAATCTGACAATTTGATTTTAACTGGAAAATGTTTGAGATTCAGAATGCGCATATCAGTTTACACTTTGAAATTGCTCATTTTGACCTCTCATTTTTTTTTCATTCACGTTTTAGATGTATATTTTGCACTTGCACATATGGTAAAAGGCTACTTTAGCTTTACAGGTTTTTTTCCTCATGCTGTTCCTGGAAGCTCAGGGCAAGCTTGTGCTGTGGGAAGTATAGGGTTGCTGGACGGTGGTTTTATCGGCAGGCTGACAGCGTGAGGATGGATGTGGGAGACGGAAAGCTGGGCTATCACTGTCACTTCATAGACCTAGAGGTGCCACGCCCAGAATCAATGCCTGTCTGCCTGAAACACACTAGCCATCTAACCCGGCCTGGCACCTCCCCTATAAATCAAACAGGAGCTGGCTGTTCTGCCAGCACCACAGATATTGTTTAATATACTTATGAAAGAGTTCAGAGGTACACAAAGTTGATCCAGAAGTTGAATTTGCAAGGAAGATGTAGCATTATTAGCTGCAGTAGACTGGTGCCAAAAGATGAATGTATATTTAAAGCTTAGCAGTAGTACTTGTTCTGTAAGTAGTACTTGTTCTGTAACCTTTGACCCTCTGTATTTTTCAGATGATGAAAATACTGACAACGCTGAAGAGTGGAGTGAAAAGCCTGGTAAGTAGATTGTGTGCATGGATAGAGAAATTCTATAAATTGACTAAAAAATCTAAATATTTTTTTATCTCTGTGTTTGAAATAAAGGGTCTTCAGATTATGCAAATTATTACCAAGGCTTGTGGGACTGTGAAGCTGATAGACCCGATGAGCTGGCCTTCCAGAGAGGAGATGTCATCCACATCCTCAGCAAGGTCTGTGTTTGTTCCCTCAATCTCTC